AACACTATTTAAATTTAAATTTATTCCCAACACTATTTAAAGATAAAATCAACATGAGATCTGGAGAAAAGGTATATATTTTCTTCTTTGCTATATATTTTTTTGGGATAGTATATGACCCCGATATGTGACATAGAACAAATAATTTTCCTAGCCGTTTAGTTGTGTTTCTGTTTTTAGTTTTTTTGAAAAGCGAAGACAATGAAAAATTCTAAAAATGGCCATAATTTTAATATTTATGATTATATATACATATGAATAAAACCCAACTATGAAAAGGTATTCATAATTGGCCATTTTTAGAATTTTTAGAATTTTACATATAATTGGCCATTTCTTCCAAGTTTAAAACCCAATTATGGCCAATTATAATTTTCCTAACTAAAGTTTAAAACAGAAACAGGCCTAACTAAAGTTTTCATAATTGGAAGAAATGAATCCAAGTCAAGAAAGGAACAAAACATAATGTCGATACTCAAGTACAAATAGAAAACTCAATACACTGGCCTATTGTGGATTATAAAAAGACCCAAGTGCAAATACTTTAGTAAAATTAAAAGCAGAGGACCTACATATTTTGTTGTCATTCCTACATTGCACTGGTCTGTATTGGTTTTACTATTAACAAAAAGAAAATGCAATAAAGGAAGAAAAGTGGGTGTGAAATGGCACTTGCAGTTGACTAATAAAGGTTTAAGTAAGATTCCACCTAAGAAAGGAACATAAGCCCATTTGTCATCTTCTCCCAATGAAAACAGAAGCCTAGTTGACCTACATATTTTCTATTTTTTGTTTTATATTTCAAATTCACTGCATTTAACTGTTAAGTAACACAATCAGCTAGAGTATTAAGCTGGTAAATAGTATAACAATCTACCTGCTGTCCCCTATGAAGTCAGTGGAGACCACATCGTCTTCGGTGAACCCCAAAATATCCTTGAGTTTGCCCTAAGATTTCTCCCTGAAATTAACCAAGAAAGAATAAAAGACCTCGTCACATGCTAATCAAGAGTTGGCAGCCAAACAAATTTGATACAGTTATGCAAATCTCAATTTGCCAATCTAATATACTGCATAATGAGGTGAATTTGAAGGAATGAAGGAAATCTGAATACTCACTTGATAGCATCTTTGATTTGCTGGTATGTAGCTGCCTTCTCAAGCCTCACAGTGAGGTCCACAACTGAAACATCCACAGTTGGAACTCGGAAGGTCATTCCGGTCAACTGAAGCAATTTTTTTACAGCTTGAACTTGTGAAGAGGATCATCTGGGAATCATTTAGTGATTTTAAAAATAACTGTTTGGTTCTTGACAGCATGTTTGGTTCTTGAACCTGTTTTCAAAAATAACTCGAACAATGATCATTAGGCGAATCATTTAGTGATTTGAAAATTTGAGTAATGAGAAAGACTCAAAAACTGTGATCTAAGACTCAAATGTTGATCAGCAGATTTATAAAGAATCCCAAAGATGAAACCAGAAATGATGATAAACAGAAATGAACCCAAGTCAAGGATTTCAAAGCAAACTCAAACTTCAACCTGACTAAGCAAGATGTACAAAAATCAACAACGATGATAGAGATAGTGTTACATTCAACTCAAACTTCAATGATCATTGTACGCAGACAACTAAATTACAAACCTGAAAATTATACAATCCTGCTTCAATTCGATTCAACAAATACAACTTTTCAAAAAAAAATTTGAAGAATGCCCCATGAAATTTTAAACAAACCCCAAGAATTCTAAATAAATTACAAACTACCTGAATTACTGCCACATTGGAAACACATATTCGGTTTGAGTAATTAACTCTTTCAAAAAATAAAAGTACTATTACCAAACACAAATTTTTCATTTATGGAACGGATATTGCAAGGAGAGAACACAATGTAAAATCTAAAAACACCCAATAAAACAATAACAAAAAGGCAAAGTTGTAAGCAACAACTGAAAAATTAGAACACCAAAAAAATAGATGAACAGATGAAAGAATGTTGAAAAAAAATTTTTAATGGATGATTGATGAACACCTAATCCCAAGAGTATTTTCAAAATTGTAATGTTGAAAATAATATTGAAAATCATGAACACCTAATACTCTTGAAATCCCAAGAGTATTACAATTCTATTAAGTATCATGAACACCTAATCATGAACACCTAATCATCCCAATCATCCCAAGAGTATCCCAAGAGTAGCTGAATATATTAAGTAAAAATTGTAATGAACACCTAATACTCTTGAAAATCATTCATTACAATTCTAAAATTTCAACACACTAAAAATTCATCAACAAAAGAACCAAAAACAAAACAATTAATGATAATAGGCAAAACTCATGAAGCCGTAATATGATAAATACCTGATATTGCCAAATCTTCTCGTACTCAGCTCCAACAAAGATTGTAGAAAGAAAAATAAATTGTGTAATCATCAGGTCAGATGTGAAAATACTAATCTCTATACTAAGAGCATCTCCAACCCTAGTCTCTTTTTTTCATCAAATTTTAGAGAAATTTTGGTTAAAAGCTTGATGTAATATGGAACACTCAAACCTTACTCTCTTTTATTTCAACAAATCTTTCTAAAAAAATCCAAACCTATCCTAAAGATCGGTTTTAACCATTTTTAATGAAAGAAACGCATATCCAATAATTACTCTTTTTGAAATTTCATTAAAACTATGACTGTTGAATATTTGGTGAAATTTTTTTACAAATCCCTTGATTTGATTTAGATTTGATGAAATGGAGTTTCACCGTTAACTGCAAAAGTTCATTTCAAGCAAAAACTTTCAGTTTTAATAACCATTTGATAGGCTAGCGATTAAACTGTGTAATCATCAGGTTAGATGTGGAAATACTAATCATCAATGTAAAAGGAATACATCTTGAAATAATAGTTATAAACTCTCTAGGTTAGATGTAGAAATACTTATTCATGATGTTTCACCAAAAGCTTTACTTGATATAAACTAAAGAAATTTAGAAAGTAGTGTATGTAAGCATAAAATTTCATTACTAAACCAAAAACCAAACCCGATTGCCAATTTATATAGTACAGTTCTTAGTGAAAGTAATTACACATAAAATAGAAAGCTTGTTCTTGGTGAAAGTAATTACATAGTATATGCCAATTTATAAGTACAGTTCAATGAGATAAACAAAGGTAAAGAACTCACAAAAAGCCTTGGTTTTCGATACTTCAAGCATTGCTGCATGGGAAAAAATTCAAGCATATCACACTCATAAACTTCTTACAGAACATTGATGATGACAATGAAAAAAGAGTGTAGAATTGCATTTAGTGTTCTCAATGATCCAGTCCCAATAAAAAGAAAACATTTTTATAAGAATAGATAGATATTAATGCTACAAAAAAAACAATTATGTTAGTTAGATATCCTTTCAAGTGTTTCGTAATTAGATCCTAAAATGATATTATCATCCAGTATGTTGTGTTTCTTGATGAAACATTATGACATTTCAAGGTCTGTGCCTGCCAAGTTATCAACAATCTAGATTGGCTGATTTATCAGAGAAATATAAATCATCAGGGGGAAGAAATACATGTGATGATCAAAAGTTTTTGAAGCATCCCAAAAAGAAAGGTAATCTTTATGTGTACATCGATAAAAGTGTTTCAGAGCATAGAAATTCAAGAATTCATTTCCAACAATCTTTATGTGTACATCGATAAGCATCCCAAACCCCATGACATGCAGAATTCATTTCCAATAATAATATACCTTAAAATGCAAGCAAGATTACCATAATTGCATCGCCACATTACCCAAACTCCCATTTCACAGTAACTTCCTATGGCAAAAATGAAAAACCATGAATGCCCTACTAAATATGACAAATGATAGCTCAAAAGTGTGTCATGAAAACACAGATTAGATTTTTAAGAATTTAAAAACCGAATTCCAGCAAAGATGAATGCAACTTTTATTCAAGATCCACAATTTTTACTGATTCAAACCATCCTTAGGGTAAGAAAAGTGTGAATACAAAGCCTTTCTTTGCCAACCAAACAGAAATTAAACAGAAATTCTCGCCAACCAAACAGAAATTAAATAAAACAGAGCCCTACGCAAGCCTTGTTTACCACCATTTCACAGCAAAATACACCTGTCTTACATGTATCTAACCTAGAGAGTTTATAACTATTATTTCAAGATGTAAACCTTTTACATTGACGATTAGTATTTCCACATCTAACCTGATGATTACACAATTTAATAGCTAGCCTATCAAATGGTTATTAAAACTGAAAGTTTTTGGTTGAAATGAACTTTTGCAGTTGATGGTGAAACTCCCTTTTTGCAATAATTATTCAGCCATTCCATAATAAATCAACATAAATCAAATTAATTCATAATAATAATAATAATAATAATAATAATAATAATAATAATAATAATAATAATTGTTTGGGTGGGTGTGTTTTGAGTTATTGACTCCTGATATTATTGTTTCATACAAATTTAACTAAACCCATCAAATCCATTCCAAATTATTAGAAATCGAAACCCATCAAACCCATTTCAGAAATGACAACCACTCCAACCAAAACAATTAAAATAGTTTACACCAAATTAAAGTTAGAGACTTACAGTTTCACCATCTCTCTGTGTTTACAACAATTATTAGAAATTAGAAATCAAATTATTATAAATCCATTTAACTTCGAATTTCTGTGAATTAAACCCATCAAACCCAATAGAAATAAAATTAGAAATCAAATTTCAGAAATCAAAACCCATCAAACCCATTTCAGAAATCACAACGTACTCAATTTTCAAACAAATATAAAATGCATGACACAATGTCAACCAATAGCTAAAGGATCAACTATAGAATAAGTACAGAGCTAAGCACAAATTTCAACTTATTATTTTGTAAACCTCTTGGCAATCCTAGAATAAGAATACCTTATAGTTCCTTGGCAATCACATAACTAAACCAATTAAAAATCAAGTATCGAATACCTCAGGAAAACAAAAGCATCCCCTGCAACTAATCTTTTGGAAGTCACAAAAGTACTCCAGCCTGTCGTAAGCAAATGTCTTCGAGGTTGACCTGATATCATCAATTTATGCAAAGGAAAAGAAATATAGATTTCACCTCTCAGTATGTTATCTATAGACTATACCTGAATTAAACGACAACATGGCAAAAAGGCACGAAGCAAATGGCAAGAAGGGTGGGACTTGCCTCTGAATATATGCTTAAATCGCCACTCATGCCCATGAAGATCTTTGGCAACCAAATCCTGGGTTGGGGTTGACTGGGTCATGTCCTGAAGGATATGAAAAGGCAACTCAAATGTTTGAATAATTTAGCTGGGTAAAGAAGAGAGAAGAGACCGTTATCATCCCCAATCGTTTGAAAAATAGAGAGAGAAAAAGAAAAGAGAACAAAAAAAGGTTTATTACGTGATTAAGGAGAAATCAAAACCACTTGTCATGAGAATTTTAGAGACAAAACTAACAATCACCAAGAGATTATAAAAAAGTAACTTTTCTTTTCTCCCAAATCACCTAATCCAAACAATTGTGAGTAATCAAAACCCCACTGTAACAGTACTAATTACAACCAATTTCCCATATATTAGGCCTACTTTCCAATTTCTTGAAACTATAACATCAACATAATTTCAATTTTATTTTTTCTTCTCCTCAGATAACTAACCGAACAGAGGGAAATGAAAATGAGAGAAATTACCAATTGTGGCAGGCATTCGTTGGCATGCTTCCGAAGAACAGAAAACCCTCCATGGGTGCTAGTATCAGATGCAGTTAAAATTTTACAGAAAGAATGAACAGTCTGTTTCGGTTGCTCAGATGGGCTCGGATAAGGACTTGTAGGTTCAGATTGCTATTATCATCACCATAAAACATTCACACACACACAAAATTACTTTAAAAACCCA